TAAAAGTAAGGGACAGAGTGACAGGGCTGTAGCGCTAAGATGATCTACACCAACAGGAGTTGTAATGTCCTTCCTGGGTCATTAATTTCAAAGATTTAATAAATGCAGAAGAAAGAAGTGAAGTTTTCACTTAGAAGAGGAATGAAAGAGAAGACAGAAAATGAAAGAGCAGTAGTTTGGTGATTATGTCATCTGGATCAGTGGTTCTTAACCTTGGGCTACTCAGGTGTTTTTGGACTACAACTCCCAGAAGCCTTCACCACCAGCTGTGCTGGCTGGGGTTTCTGGGAGTTGCAGTTCAAAAACACCTGAGTAACCCAAGGTTAAGAACCACTGATCTGGATGGTCAACAAAAAACTGGTGATGCTAGACCAAACACTAACATTGGAATGGGAAAAGTACTCAGTAAATATCACATTATCATGAATTTAGGCAGTCTGAACTTCTAGATGAGGAATTTTCCTGCCTCACTAGATTCCCCACTTCCAATCCAACAGCAAGACAAAGAGCCATTTTTCCCCATCAGGAATTTTGCAGTTTAGGTACAATACTCCCAGAGTAGTCAACACAAAACTAGCACCTTTTCCCCTTTAAGAAGCAAGGGGAACACACACTTGCACTGCAAGTCCAGACATTCCAGTCATTTGTTCAAAAAGATGCCAAGAACTTGTGGGATGTTTCATATATTTCAGAGTCCGTGGAACAAAGCTGCAGCAACCCCACTCTTGCACAACGTGTAACACAATTGGTGTAAATTACACAACTATCAAGCCAGTAGCATCAAAAAGGACCAAAGGGCGAGGAGGTGGGGAAAAAAATTCAATTCCTCGTCCTTGCCTGTGAAGAGATGACAAATGAAGATTTACATTCCTGTTAAAAGCAGCCACCCTACCACTACCTCCCTGCCTTCCTTCCAGTCAGCCAAGGTCTGTTTCTCCCTTATTGATCTTCTGATCCTTCTCCTTTCCTCCCTCCTGCATTTCGTCTTTTCATTCACCACCAATTCCCTCTTCTGGTTCTTTCCCTCCATTTTCCCCACTCCTGCTTTCTGACCTGTCTCTTCCAGAGGCTTTCATGTGTGAGAGAAAGATGAGCATTCATCACAAACAGTTCAGGTCAGTGAGCACAAGCGGCCGTAGGGATTTCCTTTGGCCCAGCAACAGGATTGCTCGTGACACCTCTGCCCTTCCATCTCTAACTCTCTTTTCCAGATTATGATTTTTTTAAAAAAATTATCCTGGTCCCAATCCCTCCTCTTGCATTCATTCTTTCCTCCTCTCCACTTTTTCCTATTCTCAGTCTCCACATAACCAAGCTTCCGATAACTGAGAGGTCCATTTTCTTCCATAATATCATTCATCGAGAGTGAAGTGCCTTCATTAAAATTCAAACAGTGTAAGAATCTTGTAGGCCTGCTTTCAAAATCTCCACACCATTTCTCAAATGCAATAAAATCCCCACACTCAGTTTTGGCGCCTAAACCCTCAGCCAGTGTCTCCTGCTCTCAGAGCCAGCCCAAGATGTTTTGCTGACTGAGGCACGGCAACAAATAGGGCTCCCTACAATCAATCCCTATCAAAGTCATCCAAGCTATATTGGCATTTTTGCTATTGTGGAGTACGGTAAATTTTAATCTGATATAAAATGCCTACTGTAGTGCTTGCAATAATGGGGAGAAATATATGAATTGAGTAAATAAAATTTGAAAGCACCGTGCCACCCTGAATGTACCTGGTGTTGTATTTCAGAAGCTAAGCTGGTTCAGGCCTGGTGAGTACTTGGATGGGAGACCACCAGAAAATACTGAAGAGCCCCTAGTAGGCCTATAAAAAGACTCCTGCTTGAAAACGTGGAGAGCTGTTGCCAGCCAGAAACGATTCCATAAAATCTGCTGCTTGAGGCACACCCATCTGCTCTGTCTTTAAAGGATTAAGAAGAAACCTAGGGAGCTCCTTATATTGAGCCCAACCTTGGGCCTATCTAACTCAGTATTGTCAGCTCTGGCTGGCAGAGGCAGTTCCTCAAGTTTTCAGGCAGAATTCTTCCCTAGCTCTAGTGGTAAATCCTGGTGTTCCCTGGTGGTTTCCCTGTCTAAGCATTAATCAGACCCAACACTGCTCACGTTTCATATTCAGCCAACAGCAGGTGTGTCCAGACTATACAGGGACCAGTAAGTCCCGCCTTGCCCCACGTTGCCCTTGATACCTTGGCTTCTTCTTCCCATTTATACCATGCATGATGGTCAAACTGAAGCTCTTTGTTGGGAGTCAGCATGCTGCTGTATATTAGACCTTCGGTAGGTGAGGTCAGGCAAGCAGCATCACAGTAGTAAAGGGCATGTATTCCCATTCAACCTGCTCCATGAGCTCCTCATAGACATGAGGTTAGCAACTGTGGAGTGCAAGATGTTGGACTTGCTATCTCCCATACAGAATGTAAGCTCCTTCAGACAGAGATATGTTTTGTTGTTGTTGTTCTTTATGTTGGTCATGCACTATGCACACCAATAAGCAATCCTGTTATAATATGTTACCAATATAATAATGAATAATACAGGGTTTTTACATTACCTCTTACTATAATTCTACCCATCCATCAATGTCACTGGATAAATGTACCTACCTCCTACACTGCATCATTCTTACAAGCACATCTGTTAACCACGCATTCATGCACAGAGATCTCTCCCATACACACATTGGGAAGACATGCCTGGCCCTCTCCTGCACACCTACTCTCTTTCCACACTGCTTCAAGCTCCATCAGTAGAGACACAATGTACTTTTTTGAGTGCAACCACGCATACTTTTACCCATTACAATAAAAACACACAAGCATGTGTACATTAAAGAGTGAGATGACAACACCCACAATCACACTAGGCTGAAATACAGTGCTTTTGATAATCAAACGGGTGCCTACTCTCGCCATACTTCTTTTGCCACTCTCTTGCTCACTTCAGCAACACAGCTACAGAAATCCTGTCCAATATTTGGGTTCGCAGGTACATTTAACCCATTAAAATGCACAAAAGTGTTCATATAAAAATGCAGTATTTATACAGATATGCTTCGTGCCCACTCTATTCTGCTTTTCAGCTTAAAGCAGCAGCCAAACAGAGCACAGCTCCCATGTATTTGCTTCTCGGCAGCAATATATGGGAGCCACAAAGCATTAACTCACAGGGCCAATTTACAGAGGCAGCACTGCCATCTAATTTGATTCTCTCCTTTTTGGAACATCCCACAGTTGCAGAAATACAGCCAAGTCTTGTAGATGTTGGTGGCTTCAATTTTGTCAGGGAGGGGGAATCGACTCCAAGTTCTAGTCCAAACTTGATAGAAACTATCCAAAGTGTTGAGCCTATTTTGGAAGTGGGATTCAACACCATGGACAGCATCTCGAAGGTTCAGACTAGAACCCACAGCAGATTCATGGGCCCATGAGATCCAAACCATCAGCTTCCCCTGCACCAAGTACACAATTGATGGACTAGGACTCTGGAGACCAGGGCTCAAATCCTTGCTCAGCCATGGAAACTCACTAGGGGAGTGGAACTGATAAAGCCACTCCTTAAATACCTCATGTACCTTGAAAGCCCTATTTGGGTCACTATAATTTGGTTCCAACTTGATGGCACACACCAACCAACCTACTCTATACCACCTTCAGGAGTTAGTTAGTTAGTTAGTTAGTTAGTTAGTTAGTTAGTTAGATTTCTATTCTGCCCTTTACTCTGGGCAGGTTCCATTAAACATTGTAAACTAAAACAGTTAAAAACAATTCAAAACAATAGCGATTAGTAATGCTTAGTAACGCTCAAGATGGGAAAACAGAAAATTATAACAAAAATAAAGTCAAGTATTGACAGGAGTGTTAAGGCCTGCCTAAAGAGCCTTAACACTCCTAACACTCTATTAACACTCAGTCCCAAGGATATTTGCAGACCAGAGTTTTCTTCTGTGTAAGAATGTGCAGACTACTCCCTTCTAGTTTAAAGATGCTACACCTTTCTCGAAAGCTGAGGACACTCAATCCATCTCCAGATCGGTGGAAAGAAAGGATATATCTGATTTACCCTGAGCTTTACATTGCAGCTTACTGGTTAAGTCAGGCTTGCAACCATGTTTATGTCCGTTCACAAAGTGAGTAGATTTCCTACAGTTGAGAAGATAAGAGGTAGACAACCCAACAGAAGTGCAAACCTAATATATGCCAGTTATTGCTAGAACCGTACCACTGTTGTTTCAGAAAGTAATACCTAACATTTCTTTGCCACCTCATGCTTCTGGAGTGCTCTTATGATTTTATGATTTGACTGCTTAAACCACAAGGATTAGAGACTCTTACTTTAAACAAGCATGGAAAGATTTTCCTTTTTATTACACAGGTTATCTACTGTGCAAGTAAGCAACTGTTTCAAATCATGCTTTCAAGGTGCAAAAACCAGTAAAAGTAGCATTCTTTCCATGAATTTCCTCTCTTTCTCAAATAGGAGGAAATTTATGGGACAGAGACTACAGACCCTGTAGAAGGAAAAGGCTGAAGATCTTTAGATTGTTTTGGTTGCATTTGTTTATAAGAAAAGAAAACTTATGGGTTCTTATAAATGTATAAAAGGAAGGAAGCCAAAGGCAAGCCTCCAGAGAGACAAGCAGCACCAGCTTCTTGGTAAAAAGAGAACAGTATGTGTTTGGTGTTTCTGAAGGTCCCTTCTTTCTTAGAAGTCAAAAACCCCCGAGTTGTTTTCTTTTAAAACCCCTGAAACTGCTTTTCTTCAGACCCCAATCCAAGAGTCATGGCTGGCAGCCACCAACATTAGTGCTCTTCCAGTGGAGATTCTGCTGAGCGTTTGAGCCCAGATTTTCAGCTCCTTGAGCAGACATTAACTATCATGGGTCCATAAGTAAATAAGTGATCACGTTATACAATTCCTTGTTTGATCTGATACAATAGGACTTTTCTCCCACTCCAATATGGTGAATCAGCATTGCATTTACCTTCTAAAGAAGATGCTAGACCAAGTAAGCATGCCATCCACAGCCAAGCCATAGCTCTTCTTCTCTTCATCCTTAAGATGGTCTCAGGATCCAAGTAACTTCTCCAGGATTTCTAGCATCATCCCTTCATCACCACTGTCCCAACAACTGCTTCCGTAGATAAGAAGGGCCTGAGGTCTACATGTACCAAAGCATGCACAATTCCACATGGAGGTGGCAACTGCAATAAAGCAGGAGAAGAACAGAAAGAAAAGGTTACACCAAACCCTCCCAGTAGATCCTCCTGCAGTATCAACCTCACTGGTATCGAGAAGAAAGTGGTAACTCCCAAGCACAGCAACTTATTAATGAAAATAACTGTACAGCCAGAGAAAGCTTAAGCAACATAATTATTTCTTTAACAACTCACACTGACTGTGCATAAATCATTCTTCTCATTAATGTTCGCATTAGTTAATCTAATTAGTTGAACAGATTCCAACTTCTGCTCTACAGATTCTGGTAAGACCTCAAGAAACTGAAGTGCCAGATTGCTTGGTGGTTTAGGTTGAGAGTTCAACTTCCCATTGTGCCTCTCCAACACGGGCTGGACTTGATTAGTCAAAAGGTCACTTCCAGTTCTGCAATTCTAAGATTATTATACAGAAATAATAATAATCATTAATGGCATTAGATTTAGGGAATCTATGGATGTCTTCTGCATTCTCCTGTCCCAAATTAAAAGATACTTTCTACTGGAATGTTCTTCTGTGCAGTCCCCATTGAAATGGATCTCTGTCTGGGAACAACACCCATTCGCTTCAATGGGATTTGTACTGCACTTAGGAGTAAAAACTCTGTGATCTTTTTTTAAAAAAAAACACACTAGCGCCAAGGCAATCCAAATTCTCCACTTCCCAGGTGGAACTTTCAACCCTTCCTAAATAATGCAGACAGAACAAATTTGCATAACTTATCTTAGGCTAGAATCCTGTCCTCTTACACACTTGCATAAGAGCCATCATGTAAGTGTTTCTCTCGTTCTGGCAGGCTCGCCTTCATGCAAACCGACAAGCACTGATTGCCAAATCGGTCACGCTACCACTCACACCGCAACTGTGTGAACGGGAGTGCATCAAAGGGGAAAAAATGGTGCCTGACTGCCCTTAAGTACAGTACACATAAAACCTGAACAGGACGTTGGTTTCAGTTTGTACTCCTTATCCCACAACACTTATGGTTTTGCATGATTTACTCCGGTTTCTAATCACAGAGAGGGCAATGGAGTTTTGCAGAGCACTGAAGATAAGGTCACTGGAAATATCCAGCCATCCTTCGGGCTCCTGAGATGGTTGGTACTGTATATTGCAAATGCAAAAGGCTAGAAACATGGTTTTGCTCTTTTGTTTTTTAAGACAAGCAAGCTATGCAGAAATTCTGAACAAATCGACATATATCCAGTTTCATATGCTGCACGTTTTCCCTGTGAAATCATAGACTGTGCACTCTCCAGGACTATCTGTGGGTAATCTGCTGACAGGCATTTAATGCAGACCTTCTTTGGTCCAGACTCCGCAGAATTCATATATTCCCATTGAACATCCATCTGATAAAATGCACACATCTTCAAGTGCATATGCACTTTTTGAAAGTGCACAAAAAAAACAACCAATAACAGCAGACACATTTTAGTCAAAGGAGGGGGGACACATACAAGCAGTTCACACTAGTAGGGGGGGAAATGCTTGTTTGTTACACTCAGGCCAGAACGGGAAGAGATTTGGGGCCATTAAAAAAGGACAAGAGAGGACATAGGCTGGATTTGATGGTGGGGAATAGGGGACATCCCTAATGCCCATCTCAGTTTAGCCATCTTGGTAGACACATTTTAGTCAAAGGAGGGGGGACACATACAAGCAGTTCACACTAGTAGGGGGGGAAATGCTTGTTTGTTACACTCAGGCCAGAACGGGAAGAGATTTGGGGCCATTAAAAAAGGACAAGAGAGGACATAGGCTGGATTTGATGGTGGGGAATAGGGGACATCCCTAATGCCCATCTCAGTTTAGCCATCTTGGTCACTTGCTTTGCTTGTTTGTTACACTCAGGCCAGAACGGCAAGAGATTTGGGGCCATTAAAAAGAACAAGAGAGGGCATGGGCTGGATTTGATGGTGGGGAATAGGGGATATCCCTAATGCCCATATCAGTTTAGCCATCTTGGCCACTTGCTTAACAACCTTGTGACACAGTGGTTAAACTGCTGTACTGCAGTCAAAACTGTGCTCACAAATCGGGTTCAATTCCAAGTAGCCAGCTCAAGGTTCACTCAGCCTTCTATCCTTCTGAGTTTGGTAAAATGAGTAGCCAGTGGGGGCAGCGGGGGGGACGACGACAATGTGTAGCCTGCATAATTAACTTGTAAACCACCCAGAGTGTGCTTTAAGCACCATAAGGTAGTATATAAGCAGCACACTTTACTTTGCTTTTTTTTGCTTTTTTGCTTCTTCTTCTTCTTCTTTTTTTTGCATTGCTCCCAAGATCTCTCACAGGTACTTTATTTATTTATTTATTTATTTATTCATTCATTCATTCATTCATTCATTCATTCAATTTATATCCTGCCCATCTGGTATATTTTCTATGCATCTTCTATGCCTTTCTGTCAGTGAGCTGAGCCCATCATGGGTTCTTGCATTGCAATTAGTGGGCTCCTCAGCCCAATGAAGGAGGTGCACAAAATCCAGGACAGACATATGAAATGACACACACACAAAACAAATGGCTTACATGAAATTTCTTAATACAACATCTGATGGTAATCAAAGGCTGAAGGAGCTTTAAATGGCAATTAGACAAATGCATGGAAAATGGCCATATCCACTATTATTTGCTGCAATGTCCTTCCTTGCAGTAGAAGATAACTTGCTGGAGGAAAACAAGGGAAAGCAGTTGTCTTCAGACCCTGCTTGTATGCTTCTCATTAGCACTTGCCTAGAGACTAGTAGTACTGTGTACGAATCAGGCTAGACAGACCCCAAACCACTATTTTGTACATTCATTTGTTTATTTTGTTCCATCTCATTTGTTTGTGTGTGTATCTGTATGTGTAGCAGCCCTTGGTCTGAATCTACTGGGCATTTTTTATGTAAACTAGCCAGTTCTTTCTTTCTTGAACACCTTTCTCCTCTTCTGATGTTTAGCCTTTGTATTATTTTATAGATTCTGCTAACGATTTGTTCTAAGTCTCTACTTTACTTAAGGAAAGCTGCAGGGAAGGAAGGGTTCCTATTGAGAAACCCCATTTTCTGTTGTGCCATCTTGTTAAACACTTATCAAGGATCTCCTAGTGGCTGTCGTGTTGACTCAGAGCTGATGCACACCCCATTGACCTTGCAATCCTAACCTTTCCAAAGCTGCTCAAATTGCTGACTGGCTGACTGAGTTGACTGACCATCCACTAAATAAGATCCACTAGACCATCACCCTGAGCCCAAGAACTGAATCAGCTCCACTTTATAGATGGGGGGGGTGGTATAGCCAAGAGACCCCATGACTATCTGTCAGATTGTGTTTTCTGAAAACACAATCCAGCAGAAAGGACCCTCCGAATTTTTTGCCACCCAGGGAGATGTCCACTACCAATGTTCACATCTGCTCCTTCCATTTTCCCAAGGAAGAGTGGAAATCTTAAAAGGTTTCCCTCCCCTGAGCAAGACGGTGAGAGTTTTTGTTCCCGATTTGCATTTCAGGAGGTTTTTCTGTATGATAAAATTTGCAGAAGGGTTCTTTTGAACACAAACTAAAGCTTGCACCAGATAACAGGGTGTGTTTTACTCAAAGTACAGGAGGTTTGCACAAAAACACATTTTTTTGGTGAGTAACGATAGTGATGGGAAAATGTGCTGATCTTTTCAAGTTTATGCAAAAGCAAAAAAAAAGTCCCAATTTTTTTTCAACATGTGTCTCAATGTCCCCAAGTTTTTGTATGAGGATGAGAAATATTGCCAGTATCTGTCACATTTTTAATTCACACACTACTCCAGATCTGCAACATGATAGATAGAAAGTTGTTAAATAAATTTGGTTTTACTACAATTTGTAACTGTCTGGAGTTTTTATTGTAATTGCTTCATGATATCTTCTTGCATGGGCTCATTTCAGGGTTAGGGATGTGAAAATGCGTGTCTCATTCTCATTGTGCGTCTCAGAAACCACCCAGTATTTTTGTCCCGCACCTAGTTCCAAATCCAGTTGCAAGACTTTCTCCTAAAGTGTGTGGTTTTGTTCTGAGGTTGTTTTGTTGGTATATACATATTTCCCAGAAGGATACATTTTCCTGTTGACTAAAACATATTTGTTTGCAGTTTTTCAAGTGTCCATATTTTTAGGTGTGCATGTTTTTCATGTGTTTCTGTGTGTTTTTCTTTCCCAAAACACACCACAAACCTCAAAAATGTACAGATTTCCAAAACAGAGAGGCTCGCCAGATGTAAGAGGTATAAAATGGATAGTTTTATACAGAAATGTAAAGGCAACAACTTTATTTTCCACCCATATGCAGATTGTTCTTTCACAGGACTGAAACCTGCTTGCTTCTCTCTTTCTCTCTCTCTCTCTTGTGTGTGTGTGTGTGCGTGTGTGTGCGCGAATTGTTAAAAAATGCAGAAAAACTGGGCAGTAACTTAAAAACTTATATGGGATTTAGACCAGTTTCATTGTCCTTATTTTCCACAATGAATATCAGGGTTTGATTTAGTGTGTGTGCTGCAATTTCTGTTACTGAGATAAAGACACACACACCCCGTATAGAACTAGAGTTCCCAGGTTTCCTGGGGTGAAGAAATGACTGTAAAACCAGTTTTACACTGAAATACAGGTATCACCTTGTATTCTAGGACTGTCATAGGCATTTATTTGTGGGGAAATATAAAAAACAAATTAGTAAATAAAGTACAACCAGAAGAATTTAAAATGTCTTTCTCTACAGATGTGCACACGGTGGAGGTTTTATGAAATGCTTGGAAAAGAGGATTTACAGGAATAAATTGAGTGATGGAGGGGGGCTGGGAACTAGCCGGCCCGCACAAGGCAGACACTCTCTAGGGAAGCGATTGGAGATCCATTGCTGGAAGCATTTACGGGCCATCTGAGCAAAGCCACAGAGACTATTATGAGGAGAGTGAGAGCTGTAAATAATAAAATACCTGTCTTCCTGAACAGTCTTTAGTACCAAGATCTC